ATAGGGTATCTTGTTAAGGCTGTATTATTAAAAACTTCCGGCGTATCTTCTTTATGTACGGAAGAAAATTAAAGTATGTCATCCACTGTGCACCAAGTGGTGGTACGCCATGTGGTAAAAAAAATTATCATATGCACAAAACTCTTGCTGATCTCAACCCATCATGAATGCAAATGCAATGACAGATATATCAACACGAGTAAATAAAATGCCATTCTATATTGTAGTGTCGTAGAACTGTTCCAATTCAAATAGTAAGATGTCACATACACAAGTGTGCTTGGAAAGGAGTAAACCACTTACAAATTTACGTGATACATCAAGATATATAGAGACAAGCACACTTGAAAAGATTAAACTACGATGCATAGTTTAAATCGTTCACACAAACTTTTAATCTAACAGCCTCCACAACACAACTGTGTATATGTATGTCTATTTATTTATATAGATAAATTTAAGGCTAATAGAATATATCATTATAGTATTATTATAGTTTAATTATTATGACCGTTAACAAGTTTTACTATCATCATCATCATCATCATCATCATCATCATCATCGTATTATAGCTCCTAAATGAAATTAGATTAAAATTCCGTTTACTAGAAAATTTCCAGGATACACACACATTTATGCATTTGTATTACTTGGTCTGATATAATTAAATAGCAAGGCAATCAACCATAGAATGAATATATGCAGTTCATATATATACGAAAGCAATGTCCAAAGTTACCTGTTACTCCTCATCTCATAATAGTTACCGAAGAATTAAACCAAAACCTTCAATGCGAGTCTTATAGTGAGGAACATGTTAAATCATCTCTTAAATTATTAATACTTGTGTGTGACTAACATGGCAGAGATGCTAGAACAGGTTCAACATATATATATATATATATGTGTGTGTGTGTGTGTGTGTGTGTGTGGATGTGGAGAAGAAGGAACGTTGGCTAACGGAGATGGTAGATGAATACGAAGATTAAAAGACTTTGAGGGCAACGGCATCATAATTGATGCAGAAGAAATAGCTTGTAGCACAACATGTATTTGATGGCGATAAGAAAAGAACGCGGGTATAATATATATAGTCGATCGAATACAATGGGAAGTGGGAAAAATTGACAGGGGAGTAATAATTCTGGGCACATCATATATATTTGAGTGATAAAATAAGAAAGGCGGCCAATATACATGTGTATGATTTAGAGAAAAGATGGAATAAGAGAGCAATGTGACTAGGCATTATTAATGGAGGGGAAAAGCAAACCTGAATAGATAAGAAAACGAAGAAAGGCAAAAGAAGGAAAAGAGGCGGTAGTCACACAAGTGATGGGGGACTGGAAAAAAAATAGATTTCTAGGTTTTACTTCTCCAGCTGTTCTTAATATATATATATATATATATATTAGATCTAAATGTTTTTTTTAAAAGTTAAACAAATATCAAAACTTGATGAGGTATAGATAATATTTCAAATTTCAATAACTTTAACTAATCTTATTCTTTTGTAAATATTAAAAAAATTTAGTTATTATTTATCTGATATAATATAATTTACTATATTCCTTAACATACATGCAAACACGCAATTTTATACACGCGCGCGCACACACATATATCCAAAACAGATTTAGGTTTTTGAAAGATACACCATATTACTAAATTTGAATGCGTCACTTTATTTTAAAAGGTGTCTAAATAATAAAATTTTGTTAGATATAAAAAATATTTAAATAACCCCTTAAATTAATATCAATCTTTTGCCATCTTAACAGTTTTCTATTTATTATTCACCTACAACGATGTTAACAATTTCACTACAAAATAACATATATTTCAGTTATTAATCTAGCGAGATATTGCATTTGATATTCGTTTGCTTTTTCTTTTACTTCATTAATGTATAAAAATAAGTTTTAAAATATACACTTTTTTTCTTAACTCATAATATACCCTTTATATACTCCAGAACATAACTAAATTCTAAAAATAGGATGTTACACTTAACATATTTATGTGCATATATTTAAATTAAAACCGGCAAAAACTGTTTGGCTCTAATTTGACCTAACTATTTTAGGTTGTCAGGGGAAAAATAAAGTTTGAACTTTCTTAAAACATTGAAAGATTTGTTTTATATGTGAGGTAAAACAACAATTATATGTAGTTGTTTTTAAATATCAGAAGCATGATTGAACCCACACAAATAAAATAAAAGAAAATTTAAAAATTAATGTATATTAAATACGGCCTTAGTATAATATGACTATCGGATACATTAATTTTTTATTGAATAAAAACTGAAAATAAAATGAAATTACCAATACTTTTTTTATTATATAAAAAACGCATAACAAAAATATTTTAAAATATAGAGATTATTACTACCCTTAATTTTTAATTATTTATAGTATTATTCAAAAGTAAAAGTGATTATAAAGCATGTTTAATATAGTTTGAGGAATAACAAGAATTTTTTTTAACGTAATTACATACATTGATGCCCTTTCGGCTAAAAATATTATGTTAATACCTATTAATTAATGGTTGAAATAATAAAAATTTTATGTCATTATAAGTTACGCCCAATTAAAAATAATTTTATTGACCAAGGGCATATATTCAGTTTGATTTGCACAAATCCAAATAGGCACAAGCAATCAAACGTGACATATAAGTTTAGAAAAAAAAAATTACTAAAAACAAGATTTGCATAACAAGATAGGAAAAAAAATTCTTATAAATATGTGCTGTTATTTACAAATCCAGTGTAGTAAGAAAACTACTAAAGTATAGGAAATATTTCTGATTTGAGACTTGGTAATTTTCAGGTTCCATATGTAAGATTTTCTCTAGACGATACGCGACATTTTATTGAATCGATAATTTTCAATTCAAATCCAAGCCATTTGTTTCACCAACGTTCCAGATTGTGCCACGTCAAGAATTCCCCCATTTGGTAAACACCTTTGCCTTTTGTTTCCATTCCCTTCTTCTTATTCTTCTAAAAAACCAACCATTCCTTGCTTCTTGTCTGCTTCAGATCTATTCCATTCAATTTAAAGGAACTTAAAAAGCATATGGTGCTTTCATTCCTCCAGGGAAAGAATAGACCCGAGTCGCCAATCATATAATACGCTCTTGTGTCAAGCCAGTTAGAGCGGCTGGTTTTAGTTTTAAATGCTCTCATCTAAGTTGTAGAAGCTAATTAATTAAAGATTGATTTTAATCCTAAATATATGATTTTAAACTTTATCTCTTATATTTTTTTTTTCAAATTACCTTAATTGATTAATACTGGGCCATCAGCGGTATTACCAATCAAATTCAAATAGATACAAGACATTTGCTATACATGTGTATTTTAAAAAGAATAATGTCAATTTGTAATCATTAATTAATTTATCTAATTTTCTTAGTATCTTTAAATTAGTAGTTAAGTAGCTTTTACATTAAAAACTGAATGAATAGTATTAAATAATTTAAACCATAAGAAATAAGATGACAATGGCTATAAATATGCAATGCGTCAGGAGTCAGTGAACTGTGAGGCAACTGCGAAAGAAGGTACTATATGGTACTTAAGACAATTGAGTTGTTCCCCTACAGCACTATCTTTTTTAATGTGTGCTTTTTTCAAAAGAAAAGGTCAAGTTTGTTTTCTTGTTCTTTTTTTTCTTTTCGGCAACAGATCACGATCCTTTTCTTGGTACCCGTTAATATCTGAAACCATACGAACACGCAAGGAATAAACGAAAAGCCTACAAATATAGAATGTGCGAAGAGTTAGTGAGTTGTGAGAGCGAGCTGAAAAACAAGAAGCAACAAGCCATTGCCACCTTGGTAAGGGCAATCAGTCTTTGTTTCTTTTGCTGAAATGCAAATTTTAAATTTCTCAAACTGCAAGAATTGGAGATTACAGTGATGAGGAGTGAGAGGTACAAGATTTAGACATGGGTATCGTGTTCAAGGCTATATATTAGTGTTTGTTTAGATGTAGCGCACTTAGTGATTATTTAATTCTGTACGTGCTTTTTTAAAGGAAAAGTCAAATTTGTCTTCTTCTTCTTTTTTCCCCCCCTTTTTGGTAACATATCTTAGACCATACGAACACGTAAGGAATAAAAGAAAAGGCTATAAATAGATAGAATGCGTGAAGAGTACAGTGAAGTGTGAGAGCGAGCTGAAAAAGAAGTAACAAGCCATTGCCATCACAAGTTCGCATGGAGGAAGAAACAAGTAAGCGCAATTAATCTTTGTTTATTTCGCTGAAATGTGTATTTCAATTTTACAAACAGAAAGAATTGATTATTACATACAGTGATGAGGGGAGAGAAGTACAAGATTTAGATATTGGTATTTTGTTAAGGCTATATTATTAAAAACTTCCGGCGTATCTTCTTTATGTACGGAAGAATATTAAAGTATGTCTTAATTATGCATATGAATATATATTTTAAATTTCTAATTCATATGTGCTGGTTGTTGATTCCAATGACGGCAGCAGACGAAATAGAGATGGCTATTTTGAACAAGGCCATGTCTGAGGACAAGTGGTTCGAAGCAAAAGCAGTCATTGATCGCCATCCTAAGGTATTGGACGTAGATTTTGGAGCTTCCAGAGGCGGAACACCTCTTCATATAGCTGCAAAGTTCGGGCATGTGGGTATAGTAGAAGAGTTGGTGAGACTAGTTAAACCAGAATATCTTGAAATATTCGATTATTATGGGTACACTCCACTTGCAACAACTGCCACACATTCGGGATCCATCCCAATTGCAATATGCATGATACACAAAAATAGAACTGCACTTGCAATTCCAGCTCAACGGCCTTGGCAGATTCCTGTTACCTTGGCTTTTTTTTGTGGCCACAACAAATTGGGACGTTATCTCTATTCTGTCACTCCTTTAGAAGTTCTCAAACCAGAAGACGACTCTGTTGTGGGTCCTGTTATTGTGCTTTGAGAATGAAATTATATATCTAAAAATTATGTTACCAAATTCTCCAATTCTCAAACCAGAAGACGACTCTGTTGTGGGTCCTGAGTTTCTCCGAACCTGTTTGAGAATTGGAGAATTTGGTAACATAATTTTTAGATATATAATTTCATTCTCAAAGCACAATATATGTTTCATTTTCATTTTATCCCTCTCGCCTCTTTATACTATAGATTTTGATACATAAATAGATGTCGCCTTGCATTTGCTCCAACGATGCCCGGAGCTGCTTTTTGCTAAAGATGCAGATCGGAACTCAACAATTGCGAATATTGCACTCTCTCTTCCTCATTCTCTTCACAAAAGTCAACTTCCGTTCTTGAAGCGATGGGCCTATCACTGTTAGTGTATATTATTACTTTCCACTCTCTGTTCTCCCTACAATTTTCGATATATGTCGTTTGCTCTTTTAAAGTACTTACTAGCCATAACGGCGAATTATGACGATGACGGTAAAAATTAATGGTGAAGATGAAACAAACTCTGGTATAATTTAGTTTATTTACACACACTCATTCCAAATCCGTCTCACCATTCCTCTGTTACTCCTGCCTTCCTAATTAAATAAAGAAAGCCTTTTGAAAGCAATTCTCAATCCACGGTCACTCGGTGGATCATTAATGATTTTTTTTTTTCAAATAGGTATTACCCCTCCCTATTACAATTTATTAGAAGAGGAGTCGAAGTATCATATAGTGTTTCTCTGTGCTCTTAAATATGTACAAAGTTGCAAAAAAATAGTTCATTTTTAAATTTGACTAGCCAACCACTTTTCTTGTTTTGGTGAGGTAATACTCCCTCTGATTCTTGTTATAGGGAATTTTCAACTAATTCTCACATACTAAGTAATGCCAGTTAAAGTATTAAGTTTTTCTTAAATTAATAATTTTTTTCAAGTTTCCCTCCAGCTTAAATTAAATAATGTAGACAGAAAAACACAAAGTTCAGTGAGCTTATTATTAGTACTAAACCTTAATTAACAATAAGGGTGAAATTGAAAAGTAGCGATTAATGAGTTATATAGTTGATGACTTATATTGAGAATCAAAAATTGCTTCTAGAAGATGCCCTATACTAAAAATCAAAGGGAGTAAGGTGACTTAAACTACGGATCGAACAGAGTAAAAGGAAAATCCGCTATGTATAGAACATGTTGGAAACTGGAAAGTGCAAAAAATAAATTTGCCAAGAGTTTTAGGTATAGTTTTATGGGAAATCTAAATCCATATTTGTATGTATTTAGGAATGTGCAAGTTCTCTGACTAAAAATTAAAAGAATCCTCCTTTGCTTTTGTATCTCTTCCAAGCCTATTCTTTAATTTAGTTCATTTTCACTCATGCATTTGTCATTTCGCAAGATGATTGCTTCAAAATTTTCCAAAATCTATCTTCTTAATCACTTACAGTGGACGACAACTCTAGCCTACATATATTGACAAGTAGTGTTGTCTTCTGATAATTCATTTTTATTGTCATTGTGAGCATAATAACAGTATTTATTGTAACTACACTACATCAAATAATAACATAAGATATCTTCTAATATTTTTCATGATCCATTATTAGGCTCTTTGAAAATTTGGTGAAGCGTTTATGACGTATATTTCCAAAAATAAGGTTGGCAAAAAAATTCCAAAAATACTATTTATGTAATTAACCCCCAATTAATTGAAAGATATCATCTTGGACTTCAAGTTTCATAGAAAACAAGAGGTGGCGTTAATTAATTAATACTATTTGTGTAATTTACTCGTGCTTCTAGTTTTTTTCTGCATCATTATTTGAGGAAGCTTATGTTTTCCCATTTCTTTGATCACTTTTGTGTGGAAGATATTAAAATACCATCAACAACAACCATTGGGCATTTCTGCGAAGATATTCAGCAAGAAGGCGAGGGCAGCAGAGCTGCTCATCAAGGTACAATATCCTCCGTTATCACTTTAGAAGATGAAATCAAATAATATTATATAACTATTATTACTGAACATAGTAGATTATAATTTTTAAAGTTTTTCATTTAATTTAGCTCGCATAAAATCAGGTATGCCAAAATATGAAATTTGAAATTAAAAATTAATTTTTATTATAAGCTCAGTTTGTGAATATTGAGATGTCTCAGTCTTAATTTATGCACAGGTTACTCAATGTTCGCATTTAATTAAGTTGCATCTAGCTTCGACGCGAGAAAAAAAATATTAGACTTGTATATCCACACAAATAATCCTGGGGAAAAAAATAAAGAAAGAAAGGATAAACCTATATATATAGACATGCATGCATATCCTCTCGAATGATTGGGCTAAAAGAAAAAGAAAAATGCATGTCAACAGGCATAGGTCCGCGCCATTAGCTCCTCTTCAGCATATATAATTTGTCAGGTATGTATATATGTGTGCGCGCGCCAAAAAGTTGCCCAGAACTTAAATCGAATGCCTTTAACATTATAGTTCTATTTCGGTTGCCAATGGTGCAGGAATGAAGGAAATATATAAGATGAAGCTGCAGCATGCACAAGCAGCTGAAATCCTAAACCTAGTTTGTCAGAATCTGATGCTTTTGCCTGACGACAATAAGAACGTCATTAGGACCGCACTGAATTTTGCAGCTGAGCAAGAGAATGCTGAGTTTGTTTTGCGAGTAACGAAGGCAAATCCAGAGTTAATCTCTCTGGTTACAAATGTTCACACAAGCTTTCCTGTTTTCTTCAGAACCGTTGTTGAATGTCGTAAAGCTGCGGTTTTCAGCCTCTTCCGTGGTTTTCACTTTAAGATTATGGCAGCAGCAACAGCAGCAGAAGAGACAACAAATAACTTGCTGCATGCAGCAGCCTCGTTAGCTCCTGATTCCTACCTTAGCAGAATCTCCGGTGCCGCACTGCAGATGCAAAGAGAACTGCAATGGTTCAAGGTTAGAACGGAAATTTAATCATTTTCTGTGCATGCCAGAGGCAGAAGAAAATGAATCATATTAACACACGCGCACTTGTGGTTATGGATTTAGATTTTCTCCTATCATAATAAAATCACGCAGTTCTGACCTATTTAGTTTATGACATGATCTGTTGGATACTAATAATCAAGAAACAAAAAACTAGATCGGACACTGTACCGGTTGAGATAGTGGTTCAAAGGTCAGTTGGTCGGATTGAAGTCAACTTGAAATCAAATTGGTCATATTAAAATAATATAATTTCATTAAAAATAACAAAATACAATAATTAGGTTTGACTAGTTAAATACCGGTTCAACTCTTGACTAGTGCAATACCTCACCGGTTTTTCAATTGAACTGGCTAGTTCGGTCTTTTTTTTTTTCCTTGCTAATAATTAGGATTCATTATTATATAGTGCAATTTAACAAATAAAATTGACTAAAGAAGAAGATTTTTTTTTGGATTAATTTTTTTAATTCACAAACACATCCGATGAGACTTGCTGATAGTGAATTAGCTAGAAAAGTGAATTAATTTTATATCATTGGATAATTCCTTGTATAATGCAAGAATAATAATGGGTTAGCTTATGTAAAACAAATTAATTGCTTTAAAAATCAATTCTATTTTGTTACTTTGAGTCTTTTATCTATTGCTTATTTATTTATTTATTTATTTATTTATTTTCTATATATATAGGCTGTCGAGAGTGTGGTGGATCCTGGATATAGGCTACATCAAAACAAGAAGGGGCTGATTCCTCTAGAATATTTCAAAGAAAACCACAAAGAGCTAAGGGCTCAAGGAGAAAAGTGGATGAAGGAAACAGCGTCTTCTTGCTCAGTTGTTGGGATTCTAATTGTTACTATCATGTTTGCCGCAGCTATAACAGTTCCTGGAGGGAACAATCAGAATTCAGGGTACCCAATGTTTATGAAAGAGAAGTTATTTAAAGTTTTCTTGATCTCAGATGCTCTTTCTTTGTTTTCATCCACTACTTCTGTGCTCGTGTTTTTAGAAATCCTCACCTCACGCTACGTGCAACACCTTACTTTTATATACTAATAGGATCATTTTAACGTCTGTGAATCACTAACGCCAGGTTTCCGTCCTGGGAAAAGACAGGGAATTTTTTTTTTCCCTTTAACATTAGAATCCGTTGATCGAATATTTCAAAGCTTCAGATAACTGATGAGTGATCCAATTTCAACCCTATTTTCAACTTAATCTATTATCATCTAAAATAATTTCATACTATACAATCTTATAATATTATACTCCTCCGGTCCTTATTATAAGACCCAATTTGACTTTTTATTTGGTCCTAATTATAAGACCCAATCCATTTTCTCTCTTATATTTATGTATTTTTTTCCAAGATAATCCTTCTAATAATGATAGTTTTAGCCAATATACTTAATTAGCAAAGATATTTTAGGAATAACAATACTTATTTATTATAAATAACCAACTTAACTTACTTCCTTAATCTCCTCAAATAAGTCAATTGGGTCTTATAATGAGGACCGGAGGAGTATTAAAAATAAAGCAACGCTCTTGGTTGACAGCATATACGTGCACCTGGCAAAGCTCACTTCCTTCTTCTAGAGGATACAAAATAATATTTCCATAGAGCAAGTAAAGTTACTTGCCCATATAATTTGCTATACAATTTACAGAATTATAACAGGTATCTCTGATCTTCAACCAGCCTACCTTCTTCTTAAATAAGCTCCTTGTCCTTCTAACTACTAGCCTTTACTGTTCATCATAAATTGGGGGGTGAGATTCCGAAGAATCCCCGTAGTAGTAATTTCCATCAAACAAATGTGCAGATCACATAAAACATGCAAAACAAGCCATATGGAACATAACCTTGCAAGCTAATGCAATTAAGCATTTATGCGCAATGACAGATAGACAAGCTGAATAAATAATGCGCAAATAATTGGCAATCACTGCCGCGCAAATAATTGGCAATCACTGCCCCATGTCTGTTAGACAAGCTGAATAAATAAAGCGCAAATAATTGGCAATCACTGCCCCATGTCTATCAGCTGCACGTGATCACGGCTAAATAATCCATGCAAGGAATTAAGGATTACATGTTCTCATGCTTTTGAATAGCAATATGGCACAAACAGACATGCAGCAATCATACACAAGTGTAAGGGAGGAAAGAACTACTACCTGAACCTTCTGCTTCAAAATCAAACCTTACTTGTTTCCTTTCTCTTAGCTTCTTCGGTGGGCTTTTGCAGATATCAAAACCTATTATTTTAGTAAGGGTAGGTTAATGCTTGATCCAACAGAATTTATAAATTAAATAACTCTCTTTAAATCCCAATCTCTTTCAATCTCTACCCTCACTTAATAGTTGGTCATCCTAGACAATTTTTCTTATTTAAACTATTCTCTTTGGAGGGTTTCCTTCCTTATCTCAAACCATACAGTTACTTTACTTAGTAACTGGTCATCTTAGTCAAAAATACTATTTTTATTTATTATATTTTAAGGATAATGTCCGCAACTCAACTTACAACCCCTAACTATTTACATCTCAAAACATTAAGATTAAATAATTTCCTCAAGCTCATTCCTTTCTACTTTCATGTTCCAAAACCATTTAACTATACAAAATCAATTCCTACAACTATGACCGAGACACACATATACATAAATATATATATATATATCACATTTATTCTACTTGATTATTTCAACTCCACACGTACAACTATAACTCCCTTTCGCCTCCACCCTAAACAGCAACTCTAAAGAACATTTTATGCCCAAACAAGAGGGAGTAAACTCCTATAGCCCCTTTTATGATCGGTTGCAAGCATATAATATATATATTTCACGGTTTTTCTCCCCTTAAATACTTCAGAATCCTACACCTCAAGACCAGTGGCACAATCCCGTTTCAAGCAGCAAAACAGGGCTATCGCAAATGCACTTGACCAAACTAAAAGCCCCTCATTCATAACTGAAAATTTTTCCAGCCCTTACAATCTCACAGCGCGCACACATATATATTTATATACACACACATAAGCTTCGGTTCTCCCCTTTAGTTTTCCATTAAGACCCGGCACTTATGGTTAGAAAAACACAGTCTCAATTCGGCCAGAACAACACAAACACCCAGCCACTTGCAATCAGCTTTTACCATACATACATGAATCTAACTTCAACTTTCCCGAGTTATTTATATATATATATATATATATCTCCCTGTTACAGCGGCATCTAACGCCATCACAGCAATAACATACACTGACAGGGAAAACAAGAAACAGAGACGAAGAGAAGGACCGTTAGACCGAATACACTCACGCAACCCCGTTTTCTTTCTTCCCAAACCATATACCCCTGTTTCGGTAAGTCAAAAACAGAGCAGGGAACCTACATGCAAGCCGAAAAACACGTCCCATTATCATCAATAAGCTCTACTCTTTCATTGTTATAAACTTTCGGCTTAAATAGAAGTTTCACTCACTACCCAGATGCTCATCTCTTTCTCTCCTCAACATCACCGGAAACGTGAACCCAAACCAGAAAATCAAGACAACAATGGACCCGTGAAGCTCACCTGGATTGTTTGATCAGTTTGCATGCGCTGGATACCACCTCCTGTCACTTTTCCAGCTCCGTCGACTCTGTTTCCCCGTGCTCTCCCTCTCTCGCTCTCGTCTCAGTCTCTCTTTTCTCTGAACACACCGTAGGCAATGAGCATATAACGTGGTGATCAGCTGACACATAGAGGAATGAATTTAGACGCGTGGAAACCAGCTGTGCAACGGAGAAACAATTCAGACGTCTTGAGGAGGAGGCAGCACGTATACTACATGATTGCTGAGTCATTTTGCCCTCCTAAATAATTATTCTTCCAATCCTATCCCTTCTCCTATTTTTTGAAATATAAGATATATCCAGAAATTAAACCAAAATATCATAAATGGATTTTTCTTATCCATTAGCTTCTTTGACCCATAAATAATTTTCCTAAGAATTTCAGATCAAAAGTCTACTCCTGACTATTTTTCTGAAAATTTCCAAAATATTTCTAAACCTTGAAAAAATCAATATTCTACAATTTTTCCCAATTGTGATTGAGCTATTAAATAATTTTAATAAACTTTCCCTTTTCTACTCATCCTGAGTCAGAAAATTCGGGGTGTTACACTACGCAGAAGAGGACTTCCTTTACTCACTACCTACAAAACTGATAATAGGTCTTTCTACACTGTTTTTGTCTATTGCAACTATGATGATTTCCTTTTCAGCAACAATAATGATCATGTTGCATGATAACTCATCACGTTTATGGGTTACTCTTCCTCTTACTATGTTGGCTAGTGTTCCGATAACTGTCTTTGTATTATTACAATTCCCTCTTCTTGTTAAAGTGCTTTTTTCTACTTATGGTCCAAGCATCTTCAAGAAGAAGGTGGAAGAGTGGCCATGAACTGTGAAATCTTACCATATATGTATGATTTCCTATTGAATAAATATTTTCCTCCTCTTGAATCTTAATCGTGTATTAAGCCAACTGCTTATATTTTTAGCCTATGTCGGAGGTGTGTATCAACCTTTGCATATTTAGAACATATATATATATATATATATATATACACACACACACACACTGATGTGGTTATGCCAAATTAATTAGATTAATTGGCTTATGACTTGGCTTTGCGGATCAGTTTTTTTTTCCAGGTAGGCATTGGTGCAACCCCTAACATTCTATATACTAATAGGGTCATTTTATTGTCTATGAATAACTAATGCCAAGTTTCTATCCCAAGAAAACAGGAATTTTTTTTCTTTTTTTATGACATAAATCATTTGAAACCAGAATCCCAATATAGGAGTTGAACTTGAAATTAATATTGGAATTCATCGTTAAAATAATTTAAACTTTTAGAATTAATATTGGCATTCATCATTAAAATAATTTAAACTTTTAGAAAAGCTAATGAGTGATTCACAATTCAACCCTATTCTCATGCAGCTTAATAAAAAACCTGAAGCCTTAATTAACTAACAGGTCACTAGCCACAGGGATAACAGGTTAGTAATGAATATATATATATATACAAAAGTCATCTCAGTACCTACCTATGACCGCGACTCAATAAAGACCTCCTTGCTAATAAAGCAAGTGTTGCTTACTTGCTGTGATTATATATAACAGTATAATTAACTTTGCTAATAAAATAAGTGTAATAATCTTGAAATTTTCATAATTAATTAATTAATACCTATATTAATTGTTGTAGTTTGAGTCCCAAACAGAACTTGGAGATAGATGGTAATAGAGGTTGCTAAGGAGGCCAGGGGTTCCAGATTCAAAACCCAGCCCTGTTTAAAGGAGAATTTATTTTATTTTTTTTTGCTCGATTTTATAAGAAAATTTCTTATATACCCATGTTAAAAAAAAAAAACAGAGACTTGCAGTATATTTTTTTTCCTTCGATGCTTTCGGTTCAGCGAGAGAGAGGAGAGACTGAAAGAATGACTTATGAACTTCAAACCCTAACCCTCCACGCTGCCTCTTTTGGTTCGTCGTTCCTCCCACCGTTCCTTGCCATTAGAGTTGCCGTCACTGACGTGACATTGTGATTCTTTTGCCTTGCTTCGGTTCTGAGTTTTCCAGCTTCGCTATGCCATCTTTCCTGCTTGCTCTGTTCGATTTTTGCTGGTTAGAAGGTTTGGAGTTCGTATTTTCTTACTCTTGCCTGACTGTTGATGACATCTTTATCTTCGTCTCCGTTAGATTCTTAGTTTGCTGCTATCGGTAAAGGGGATAAGTTACTCCTTTTGCATTTTATTCCTCTGTTTTGGATTTGATGTTCATAATTGTGCTAGGCTGTAAAATTTTCGGTTTGTTGTGGCTGTTATGAAGTTTATTAAGGTTGGAATGGTGGATTAATATGCTTGGTCATCTTGTTTAATTATTACTGCATACAACGTGTTTGTAGAAATGTTTGGGAAAAAGGTTTGCTTAGAAGTCATGCTTTGTCTATTGAGCCAAGATGCTTGTTCGGTGGATGAGT